TGGTTGATGATGTTTTGAATTCCATGGAGAAAGCAGTAGAAACCAAGGCAATCAATGGGGCTTGTGCTTAACAGTTCACTGTGTAATAGAAACAGGAATATTAGGTGTTCTTGATCATTTCCTGCAACACTGGTTTATTTATTGAAACTGAAAGGAACTGGGCAAAGACTGGTGCTCTGCTGCTACCAGAGACCATCACCTAAACCAGACATCATTTCTGTCAGTGAGGTAGCTCATTAAGATCATCCACAGAAGAGCTGCTCTCTCTTGGCTTCAATTGTTTTCACTGGAACCAAGAAGCTAAGTTGCGTTGATTGGAAAGTTTCCCCAAATTCCTTGACTACTAAATAAATCTCTTGAGATACTCTCAGCATCCTGATAACGATCACTCTGTAACCACTGAAGTAATTAACATCATGGTAGGCTTTTGTATGACCCAGACATTCCACATTACAAGATTTATACAGTTAAGTGACCACTGCTAAAAGGCTAAGAATTCTGTTGCATAGTTCAGTGTTTTAGAAAACACTTTCAAACTTAAAAATTAGGAAGAACCTATTATTATATAATAATAAGCTATTCCTTGCATGTGGACTGAAAAGGCAGAGATTCCTTCCAACTTACTTTCTCTGAAAAATCTATGGCACACCACACAAACTTTTCCACTGTCAAGTTGCACACACCATTGCACCCCTTGCTCCTCGGGAGAGGATGAGAACAAATGATGTGATAGATGTTAATAATGCTGATTAGTACACATAGCAGAAAGCACTAAGACATCAGGATGACGAAAAAATAATTTGTATCTTAACCAAAAAAAAAAAAAAGATATCGTAAGAGCAATCAGTATGAGTATGATGAACCCGGATCATTCAGGAGACAGAATCTGAATAGGATACCCACTGTAAAGATTAGCTCCTAAAAGCACACATAGTAAAGCAGTTCATTATCTTTTTCAGCCATCTCTTAGATTTAATAGGTTTCTATCTTGATAAGATTAGGACTTGCTTAATAACCGTCTGATTAAAACATAATAAACCTAGGAAAATTAAAATAATGCCTTTTTAGTTACCTGGAGATGAGATGGGACTTTTCAGCCAAGCTTCCACAAAATAATTTCTGTAACATTCACCTCAGGATCCCAAAGCACTTCACAGTCATTTAATTAAGCTTCATCAGAGCACAAACTCCCCATTTTACAGCTTAGGTAACAATGAGAGGGAGTTTGGAACAGACTGTTTAATACTGAGCAGAGCTAAATGTTCTGTTATTTTACCCCAAAAAATAGATTCCCGAGACCTATAGGTAGATTTCTTTCTCCCCTCACCGTTTTGGCAGCCTCCTAAGTAACAGTAAAATTCAAACATGTGATGCACAATCTAATGAACAGCCCTCATCATCTTCCAAGGTGCTCAGAGTTGGGGTATAAACACTGCTGCCTATCTATCTTACAAAGCTGCTCCTGCCTGTTCCCACTGCTCTAGCTATTCCTATGCCTCTTGTCTACAGTGGACCAATTTAAGCTTCCCTTCTTCTAGTTGAAAACTTAAATATGGCAAATCATTAAAGAGTCTGAAATTTTTGCCTTTAATCCACAACAGGTCAATGACTGAGTGATTTCCAAAGCAACTACTACTCAGCAAAGGATTTGCATTTCTACTGAACACAGGTAGGAAGTTTGTCTAAAGCCACCCCAAGATCCCAAACTATACCAAGATTTTTGTAGGAAAGAGGGAAGGGAGCAAGTAGGCAGCAGGTTCTGACTTACTAAAATGAGTGATTAAAAAAAAATATTGCACTGATTGCGTACTGCAAGCAACACTGGATGCTGAATAGCATGTGGTGAGAATACTCATGGGTTATAATAACCTGGGGAGGGCAAGAGAAAGAGACAGACTCTACAGAAAAACACTAATTCGCTCTTAATCTAGCCCATTATTTCAAGATTTGAGTAGGCAGCTTTCCTTTAGGAGGTAAAATGACAGGGGTGGAATGATGCCATCCCACTGTCACTAACGGACTACTTTGTGGATGGCGAAAGATAAGGAATGAGCATCGAAAATGCTATTTAAAGCTCCACTCAGGAACATAGAAATTTGCATTTGATAGAAGGGATTTAAATTGATTAGAAGGCAAGGTGCACTAAACAACTACAGTTTATTACTATGTTGGTTCACTGCCTGAACCTATACTTATCACATACTGCAGTAGCAAAGGAGCAGCAATGCTCAGTGCACTTGAGCCGTATGCATATTAATAGGAGGGTTAGCCGAACAAACAGAGAAGGGGCCAAAAGCTTCTGAAAATGAAGTGGCTTGCAGATTTTATGGACGGATTGGAGTAATTTGGGTCTTAAGTCACATTTCAGAGAAAAGTTTTCCATTAACCAAACAGGATTTCCAGCACAGTGCTTGGAAGACAACCCTCTTTGCTGTATCACAGCATATAAGCTGTGGAATGACTCTGACCCAAGAGAGAAACACACATCCTGCAGCAGCTGATTCAGAAAGACATTATACACACCATCTCCCCTCGTAGCTGGAGAGGGGCCAAAGACACTCATAGTCTATCTGCTTCATTTGTTGTTATGCTGCATACGAAGGCTACAGTGAGAATATTCATATTGCTCAAAATTCAATATATGACACTCTTTTTTTCCTCCCATCCAGTTTTCACCTTTGATGAAAAATTTTTCATCTTTGATGAAAAACTGAACGTTACCGTATTATGCTTCCTTTCTTTAGCTAGGGGAATAAAACAGACATACCCCAGCCATTCCTCTGGACCCCTTGAAAACATTACCCTGTTTTTTCACAGTGGCCTCCAATCTTCCCCATCCCCTCCCTGCATCTTGAATTCATGGCAACTTGTGTCCTTACTCATCTGTACAAAAAAAAACCCCCAAAACCCAAAGCCTCAGGATTCAGGCCTCCTTACACATTGAACTAAAATCTGCTGGATTGCTGAGGAGGAAAAAATTGAACAGTACTTCTATGTCACAGAACCAGATTAGGCAAAAGGGAAGCAGTGTAACTTTTACTAAGCTGTGACACTGGGGAGGGTAAACACAGAGAATATTGAATGAAAACTGTAGGATACCATGAGAAGAGCAGTAAATCTTATGGCTCAAACACATACAGGAAACCACAGAGACCTTCAGGTTTCAGTAGATTCATTTTAAACCAAAAGCTTGGAAGGTGTCTCTCAGAATGTGCCCTGCCTATTTAGGATCCATTTGAGTACACATACTTTCCTGAGCTGCAAGGAGAAAAAACCAATTCCTTTATGGACTACTATGGGGTCACAGGAATAGGCTAATGAACGAATACCAGGCACCAGTAGCACAATACTCCATGGCCACCGTGCCTGCAGTGGCACAGCTTGGGTAAGTTTTACTTTTCACTTCTGCAAAAAAAGTGTACTACTACTTCATGGAGTGACTCAACACTTACCCATAGCATAAGACTGTGCAACTAATGCCCTCTGAAAGCACTAATGTGCTAAATGGCATCAGGGACAGGAAGTTATCAGTGTTAATCCACTTCAACTGGTTTAACAGTTACAAGGAATAGAAATGTCTATATGCAAGACACTTCCTCTGAGAGTCCCCTTTCCTGCAACAGAAGCACACAGCCTTTCAACGTGCTTTTCCACTAGCATAATTGCTCACCAACTGCTTTCTCAAATCAATTATGTTGTCTCAGCATTAAAGGATGGAAGGCAGAGTAGACCAACTTTTTGTTTATCTAGGCATGCTGGCAGGTTACAGTCATATGTTCTGCCATCTGTACTGCTAGCTTTATCCTTTATCCAATCATAACAGGTAAAATGGCATTGGTGTAACTGAATCTGTTCGCTCAGTCAGGGAAGGAGCCAGAACAGGCATTTGTTTTTTCCCCATTCTGAAAGGAAGCAGGAGATGGACACTCTTGCCCTTTTAAAACATTCTGCTTTTCAATAGATGGGCAATTTGCCCCAGTCTGCTAATGTGGGATCTGTTCAATGCAAGGCTGAAAAGGTTCCATCCCCAGGGAAAGCATCGAACTGCTGATGAACATTTGGTGGCCTTTAGCAAAAACGATGTGATTTCTGCCAACAGGATCCCAGCAGACTGGGAAGGACAGGCTCCAAATTAGATGGGATTGTGATGCAGGAACTTCAGAAGGCCTGTACGGGGTATACGAGGAGCTTGCTGACTAGCTCCAGTCTTTTCCCCTTCACACTCCTTTCTTATTCATATTTTTTCAAAATTACAAGTATATTGGCAAATGTCATGGCTGCATTCAAGAGAACCTGGAAACTTCCAAATGCACAGAGTGTGTGAAGATGACCTTTCTTCTGATAAAAAGGCTGCTGGGCTGGGTGGGTTTCTTTTAAAATTATCAGTATTAGAAAATTTGTGACTAAAAGTGCTTGAAACCACTTTGAAAGCATGTCTATAGGTCAGTATCAGAGTTTATGCCCATCTCAAAATAAATGAACCAAAGGCAATTTTCCAGAAAACAATTCCCTTTGTCCCAGAAGGGACGCTTTTAAATCAACACTCACATTCACCTTCCTCTTCAGACCCCCTCTCTGAACACTAGGACATATTGCTTCTTCAACTAATTCTGTTTATGTTACTAAATAGCTTTAATTATTTAATAAGAATTGGCTGCCGCTGAAACCTGAGTTGATGTCAGACAGGAATGTCCAGCAGACCTATTAGTCTTCAAATTACTATCTTTTCATAGTCTCAAAGGAGCAACCATGACAACTATCTTGATAACTGTGGAGGGGCTCAGTTGCTGGTTTTTTTTTGGGGGGGAGGGGCGAGGGGGATGGGGACGGAGGGATATTAATCATTTCCTTTTGGCAACCCAGGCCGAAACACCATTTCTCCAAAACCCTGCCCAACCATAATTACACTGTAAAAATAGAGTACAAATATTTGTTACATAAAAATAGGTTCCATTACAAATATGAACACTGTGTACTGTGCATTTCCAGGTGAATTGCAATCAGGAGTGCATTTTTTGGTCCAAAACAGTGCCAGAAGCTTTTCGGTACATGTTTCTGTATATTTTCTCGAGACTCTCTTCAAAGATCACTCTGTGATGCTTCCCTTTGTATATAGCTGCACGACTAGACCAATATTTACCATTATCCAAATGAACAGTAGTGTTCTGCTGCACTGGTGAACTGTCAACAGGAAGAATAAAAGAAATAATGATCAAATCAAGATAAGGAAGAGGAATCAGAAGCACAAAATGAGCAGAAATCCAAGTGTAGAACTTGCTAATCACGAATTACCTTTCATAAATTGGTAAAACAACTGCACTGCAGCTACTTCTAAGAAATGGGAGCCCCACATTATTCATTCACACAAATTCTCCCCCACTCATCTGAGTGCACTTGATAATACCTCCCAAATCGGAAGAGAATTAATTTTCAAAGAGCATGCAGTAATTTTGCTGTATTTTGATAGGCAGTGTGACTAGGCACTAAGCCTATGCAAGAGCAGCACAGTAGGATTTTTGTGTCCTTTGAAGGTCAAAATGTAACCACAAGCAGCTATTTCAATATGAAGACAATCTATCAGAGGCATATTAAATTACTGTGGTTGCAGCTGTAAAGTGCTCTATCGGAAGCATCTTGGATTAAGTATTCTACCAAATACATTATCATACAGTGGCAATCGAGTGTTCCTTCCCCACCCCATCTTCTGTGTCACTGTTTTAACACTAAACACAAATACCATCTCATATTTCAGTTGCTTTGAGAAATTATTTCCTAGATCTACAACATGAAATTTATTCTCTGAAAATCATTACGAAACGCTGACAAATCTGAAGTATGTATATCTAAAATTCATGACTATTTGCCTTTTCTTGAAACTTTCAAAACAAAGGCAAAACAAAGGCTTGTGTCATATAATGAAATGAGCCATTTTCCTGTAATAAAGCATGAAACAAGTAGCTCAAAAATCATAAGAAAAAATGACTACTGAGGTGACATTTTTCACATCTGCTCAAAGATTTAGGCACTTAAGACACTCAAAAATTAAGACTGAGTTATCTTCAGCCTTTCATGAATGTTCTCAGTTCTGGGAAATGAAAACTGGAAATGTGAAGTTTACAGTGACCATCTTCACTTAGGAAATGGAATACATTTCACAGGGAAGCTTTACATTTTCTTATATACGTAGCATTTATTAATCTACTATGGTCAAACCAGTACTTAAAACGTTGTCCTCAAGTTAGTAAACACCTGTGACAAAATGGAAAGAAACCTTATGTCAAAGGACTCACAAACATACTTCTAGATAGGTGCATCAAAACAGAAGGTTTTCACCTTAAGAAAGAAAAATAGTGAGGGAAGAAGATGAAGATGTAGGATCTGTTTCCTAAATTCACATTTCTAAGCTTCCACTATCCCATGGAAAACAAAAGAAGGAATAGCTTTTGCTTTTAGATTTCTTGTATTCAAATATTATGGTGATGCCAATCTACACCACATAAAACAAGATCATCTTTATGTGGCTCCAATATTAAAAGGGGAGGAAGGCCACTTTCACAGTTTTTCAAAAAAGCTCCAACATTTAAAGTCAGTCAACAGCATGAAGAAAATTTAAACCTGTTTATCATCCTGGAGAGGGCAAATGGTGCTTCACAGTTTGGACACAAAGAAACCAACCTACCAAACAGCAAAATCAATAGAAACGTTATATAGGCCTGTGTTAAATGTAGACAAGTCAATACCCTGGGGACCCATCAACAACTGAAGTTTTACCCCCTCCCTTCTGCAGTTCGTGTTACCTCACTTCTGATGGAGAATTCTCAGGCCAACAAATAAGCACAGCACTAGGAGTGGCACTTGGAACTCTACAACAGCTTTGACACTCTTTTCATTGGAATCCACTTCCTGCAGTTAGCATTGTGCTTGCCTTTTCTTCTGCTTAAAAGCTTAATCTACATAGAGACACTCAGAATCCAACCACTTTAGCTGCAGTAAAGGAAAGGCTCAAAAAACAATAGTAACTTTCACAAGTTCCTTATTCTGGTACTGACAAACACTTGAAAAAACAAAGACATAAGTTTCATTTTCCCTTCTTTTTTTGGGGGTGGGGCGGATGTGTGCATGTATGTATTTCCATTAACCAGTACTTGCACATGAGATACTCAGCACTGGCGTGGACAAAGATACAGCCAAGCTAGGGAAGAGTCCCTCTCCTGTCTCAACTGGAAACCAGCTGACAACCTGAGCTAAGCAATCTGGGAATTACACTCACAAATCATATTAACAGCAGGATTTCTGCACGCAACTCCCTGCTCTGAAATACCTGTCACATGCTTTCGTTCCCTCATACATCTCCTTTAAGAGTCCCAGAAGTTCTTTTCTGAGTGAATCATATACTAAATATTTCACAAAACATGGACCTTTTCTTTACTCCCAGTGGTTTTCAATCATCTACTTTACTGCCAACATTTGGTCGACAGTACCATGTCCTTCTATGAACTCTGTCTCTGTCCTTGTATCCTGTTTATGAGCACTGTGGCAAGCACTCAGCAATCAGACTGTCCTCGAGTCCTTTTATGTCTCACCCTTCAGTGAACGGGACTAGTGCTGCCAGCCTCTACACCCAAGGAAAAGTCCTTTCCCAACATGAGTGCCACATTTCATATCCCATCACTACTTGATTCTGTAGTATTAGGATTTGTTTCTTCTTTTTTCATGGTCTGCAGTTTCGGCATCAATCTCAAAGTCCCAAAGCTGCCTCAAAACAAAAACTTGCACTTTCTCTCTCACAAACATATCCTACACAATTTAATTGCAGCAGCTGTCAGGACAAAGGATAAAGGAGCAAAAAGGCTACACGCAGAATGCAGGAGTGAGCACAGGTATAGAAATACTAACAAGTAGCAACTTCACATATATGTGGAAAATCTAAGACTAACTAGATCCCTTGTGCAGAGGTGACTACAAGTCAGAGGAATTTTTAAAAAAGGCAACAAATCATAAATGAACTTTTTAGAGCTTACCAATTGCAAGTAGAAGTTCACTATGATATCTATATTGAATTACCCTCTTTTCAGTGGTATACAGTGGTGATTCAGGAATAATTTGTTACAAAATATTGCATCACATTTCATTATCAAAATAAAACCTTTTTTTCCCCTAATGTCAAGACGTCTCAAATTTAGCACCATAGTTCCAGGACTTCTCTCTTAATATAAAGAAAAACAGAAAAGCCATACAACCCCCAAAATGTTTTACATTACTTAGTACCTTTCCTCCAACAAGCACCCAAAACGTTCTACAAAATACTGCATATAGAGAACATCAATATTGATAACTTCTATTACAGAAGTTGTCAAAATCAATTCAATTGGTGTCTTTTAAGTAAAATATTTGAATGAAACCACAGTTGCATATGTGAGGAGTACACAGAATAATTAACCTACATAAACCAGGTTTTCAAGATCTCAGGGTTTCAAGATGTCTTCTGAAATATGGCATGCTGAATCACTAAACCATAGTATATGTATTTGCTGTGTTTTTTAAGATGCTTCTCTTTTCCAAATATGTGTTTTGGGAAAAAAAACCCCAGCAAAACAGCCCCAAACCATATTACTAAACAAACTTCAATTTATTTTTGCACTCCCATAGTTTTAAGAAAAAATAACCAGTTGGTTATTTTTAAAGCAACATTTGCTCTCTGGTTGATAAAATCCCAAAACTACTCCCCAAGGATCATTTTTATGACCAAGTCCAGTTCCAAACTCAGTGTTTTATGAAGACTATACTGACACAGTGCCAAACAGCATGAAAGGCATAATGATAGTTAACTGTATTTTGCTTTTAGGTGAAAAAGCTTGGTAGGACTAACTCCTACAGAAGCCTTTTCCCAGTGCAATATACTACATAGCTCAAAATAGGAAGAGAAATTTTTCACTAAATTTAAAGGGCAATGTCATGAGTATGACTGTTCTGTCTTGGTCAGAGAAAAACTCCATACCTGCTCTGCAGTTCACTCATGGATAAGGGCACTTTATGTGAAGATTCTCTTGTCTTAGTCAAGTCTCCTTTTGATGTGTTACTCTCATCCTAAAAAAAACAGAAATCAAATTCTCATTATATTGGTTTCTGATTACAGTGATCTCATTTCAAAAATACTTTCCTTTAGTAGAAGACTATTAAAGTGCTTACATTTCTTGGGGGAGAAAGGGACAAAGTGTAATGAGCCAAATGCCATTTATGAATGCTTTTAATTAAGTTCAGTACAACTCAGCTAATAATTTTCAGGTAATAAACTGGAAAGAATTTCTAGACAGTGTAGATCTAAAGAACTCTGCTGACAGCAGAAGCTTCAATAATCCCCAACAAACACGTTGGTTAAATGCTATGAAACCTCCTGCTCACTGCCTTACTTTTGTTTCTTGCAGAAAAGGGAAAAAAGAACCCAAAACTTACTATTTATTAGCTTTTGTAATGTGCTATCGTTATCCATTTAATGTATGTTACCAGACAGAAGGATTCTACGCATCTGAATACTTTGATTCCATATACATGGCTGAGAACAGGCTTACCCAACTTTAAAAAATATCTTACACTTAATGACCCTTCAGTGGTATTCTTAGGAGTCGCTAGAAAGCGGTCTTACCTTCCAAATGCTATCTAGACATCAATTAACCTATATTTGCCCTCTTAGGTAAGTAAGAAACAAAACACCTCATGTGAAGGGAGCCAGCTGGTCAACTGAGACAGTATGGTAGAAATTCCACCACACACAACCATGTTGTGGTGGTGAGCACAGACACTATTTAAGAGGTGATATTAAGTGACACTTTTAGCAAAAGCCAATTGCTTTAAGGATTAGTAAACAAAATCATCCTTTGCAGTAAAAATAATCACACTTGCTGGTAACACAAAACTGGGAGAAACAACAATAAATATAGTGGTAGATGGTAATAAGATGCAGAGCAAGCTGAATGGCAGACGTATGGCTGAGGAAAAAACCTAACACAATTTATTGTGGTGAAATACAAGGTAATAATTGTGTTTGTACACAGGAAAACTCTCTTCCTTCAGCAGTCACAAAGCACTGAAGAGGAAATGGGGTACAGTGGTAAATAAAACTCTGCAGCATTTGCCAGAGGCAAATTATGTTCTGGAAAGCAAAAAAAGATGGAAACATTACGATACTGTCAGAATGCCACAGCAGAAAGCTACAGTGGACACCCTAGGGAATCTGCAGCAGAGCTCCAGTCACATTATTTTTACAGAGCACTATGGAAACAAAATTTTGGAAAACACAGCTGGATGCTTCTGGGAATGGTTATTTAGTATTAGGCTCTTTGGAATGAAACGGAGTAAGAAATACTTTTTAACCTTCCAAAGTTTGGAAGAGGATCCAGACTGGAGCCAAAATCTACTCGCCACATTGCCAGTGCACTTGCTTTACTATTCCCTCGCTTTCAAGATGACCTGTTTACCTCATCCATCCACTGCATAACAATGCAGCCTAGATTTTGGGCCATGTGGGGAAGAACAACCAATCCTGGTGTATTTTACAGTACTCACTGCAAGTACACCTGATTGGGTTTTTTTAAGCAGGTCAGCTGCTGTTAGCACAGCTTTCACAAATTAGCTGTACACGATTATCAAACACTGTGAGACCTCTCTGTAACGTCCTCCCATTCCTCTTGCTCAGTGGAAGAAAATGGAGTGAGAAAAACAGTTCTTTTCCAGCACTGTTCTGACCGGGTTGGTAATTAAGGAGTCAAAAAATCTTACCCAATACTCTGACATCTGGATTTTTTAAGGCAGAAACATGAGGTTTTCCAGCAGGAGAGGAAACAGAAAAGCATCATCTCTGATTATTAATCCCTTTGAGTATTCAGCAAGTGTTTGATACTGGAAGTGACAAGGTGTGCTAACAGAAAGCCAACAGAAAGCACCATGCTTCAAGAATCTAACACCATGCTTGCAAATTTGTGTGCATTTGTGCAATGTTGCAGTAACAAGTGAACACCAGCATATGTGTAAGTCATTCTAGAGTAGAACATTTTAAATTATATAAGTAAAATAAGTAAATAGGAAGAAAAGGATCAAATTGTCCTTTACCAATTATTATATTTAATAGTCTTTATGACTGTATGGAGAGACCATATAACCAGCCATCCAGCTCTCCTAACACACTAGTAAATCTTTTATCATAAAGTCATAGTCTACTGTTCAAGGAAAGTAGTCAAGCACCACTGGAGATAGTTCAGGCTGTGCAAACTTTCATTACATGTAGGTGCTGGACCGTCATGAAATCCAATTTATTATCTTAAGTTCATTGAAACATCGGAGAAGCATTTGACATGATTTGTACCTATTCTGGAGTGACTGAAACACAGAAAAATGTGATGGGCATTTTCTATTTGAGAGGCAGCAGCTCACAAGATCATAACATTTGTATCCAAACTCAGGGAGATACAGCATGAACTAGATCAAACAGTCTTAGCATGCATGACAGAAGGTTTTTCTGAGTTTAAAACAAAAAGCACAACAACTAAGCTAAAGATGAAGATTGAACAAGAATGAGAAAATAATCAGATTAAGAGAGCAAGCAGGCAACACAAGGAGCTGCCCAGGATGGCTACATTTGGGGAAATAAATAAATAAATAAATTAGACTTCAGTGCTAAGACAGATGGTTCTTCCGTACATCTTGCAGCAAAGGATTGAGAAACCAACCTTCACTTCTGCCCCAGCCCTCTGCCGTGTGTTTACTGTAGTCAGTGGAGTCACCACATCCCAGCCAGCAGAGCTCACATGCCAGTGTTCAGCTTATGTACTGAATCCATATTTCTACAATCAAGCCTGCCTCAGTGTTACGCCTGCCATTTCTGTGCTGAAGCGTGAGGTGGGGAGGCCAGGGCTCTCACGCTCTTTATCATGCTTCCCACTGACACAGTAAACTACATCAGAGGGGAAAGGTAGACAGTTGGGGACAGCAGAAACTTAAAATTGCAGCAACATTCAAAAGCAGATTTCTGTTAACACTCCTTTTCCTAAGAGGAGAAACTGAAGCAAAAAAGATGTCTTTCTCTGCTTTGAGAGACTCATGTCTCTTCTAACTGATCAATAACATTTGTGTGCTAGATTGTCAGATAAAAATAATAATTTTATCAGAGCTCCTAATCTTAATCTTACCTACCTCTCATCCTTACATCCTTTTACCTTACCTTTCTTCTACCTCACCTTACAACTAAGACTCTAAGTTCTTTGCAGGTGAACAACCTTGTTATTCAGTTTGTACAATGCTTCGGCCAGGGAGATCCTGTGGCACAACTGGGTTTCTCAAAATCACAATAGCAAAAATTTTTATCTGTCTAAAACCACACTTTAAAATGCCATCAGATTCCAGGACAAAACATTCTGATCCTGGGCATAATCTCATTAGATAAAGAACTCTGTTCATTGAAAGCCAGGTAATTAAGGGGAAAAAAGCACATATCTGAAGAATAATACTAGCTCTACAAACAGCTGGACACAAGCAGCTGCTGATGTGCAGCTGCACAACATGCTTAGCCTTGATGTTCTACCAATCTGTAACACATTTTTTGCTTAAATTGGAAGTGGAGAACTGTGGTGGTGCAGCCCCCTGGGCCACACTGAGATCTCAGGATAAGCCATGCATGCTTTGGGAAAGACTCCCATTGTGCTGTTATCTTGGTTGCAAGTGCAGTAGTGGGGTGGTCAGGCCACCCCTGGCCACACCTGGGCCAGCTGTTGCCTGAGTTGTATACCAGAATGACTCAGCACAAATTGTGGCCAGAATGTAAAATACTGACCAAAGCCAATCATCTCGAGATCCTATAAATAGCAATCCAAAAGTGAGACCTTTTGAGCTCTCTGGGACTGTAGCGGGCTGTGTGACCCCGTATCTCCCCCTGAGCTGGGACACCTCTCAGGGTAGATTTTGCGAGGATTGAAGGATCGTCCGTTGACAATTTCACGAGGACGCAAAGGCCTGATTTTGCAAGGTTCACCGACTGCCTGTTGATGAATGCCAGCACATAAAAGTGAGTAATTCATGAAACTCACGAAAAGGGAAATTTTAATCACAGGTTAACCTCTATGTGTGTGCATTTTGATTTAGAGCTGTTTGTTGGCCTGTCTCTGTGTGTGTGTGTGACTTGATTTAAACCCCAGCTGTGTGTGCAACCCTGCTGCAAATTTCGGGTGACCCTTGTCATTCTCAAATTTTTAACTAAGTTGCTATTTTGATTGTAACAAATTCCATTGAATCACTCTGTTAAATTGGCTGATGCTTAAGTGCTGTTAAGATTTATACAACCTCATTTTGTGATCTATCTCAAAAATATTAATAAATCCTAAATTGCTGCTAAACCAAAGCTGTGTAAAAAAAATCATATTTGTGACAAGAACTAGATATTAAAAAAACCTGTAATTGTCCTCAATACCCCATAAGAGGGTTACCTATACCAGCTGTCCATAAAGGCTACACATAAGGAGGCTACTGAATTAAGTGTGAAACAGTTCAGCTCATATACTGAATCCATATTTCTACAATCAAGGCTGCCTCAAAGGACAACGTCATAATAAATCCAAGACTGTAGGCACAGTTCTCTTCCTCGGCCATATTGGTGAAAAGAAAGGATTTAGTTTGCAGTCAAACTTACAAATACTAGGTGCTGTCTAGCACTGTGTGTCCTTAAAATATTTTTCACTCTCTTATGGATCTCATCTCCATTTGCTGGTGAAGGCCAACCAGAGCTAAATCTGCAAGAGAAAAAACAAACAGAAGAAATATTTTCCTGTTGAAAAGCTAAACATACTTTTGACTCAGATTTTTTTTTTTTTTTAAATTATGAAGAGTGCATTACTTCCTTCTACTTAGAACATACACAATGTTTAGATTTGATTCTTTTTCTCCTCTGGGGTACAAGTAAAGAAACATTTCAAAGCAGTGCATAAACGGTATGCATCCACAGTACCAACAGAAGATGCGAAATATAGAAAATGTTGATGATTTTGTAACTTGAGTAATATTTCCATAATGTTTGTATTGTCCCTACAGAATAGAAAAGCTATACAGTTATTCAATTCCCAGTGATCAGGTTTCATTTTCCGCTTTTTAAAGGAAGTATTACACACATTAAATTCTTTTCACTGGAATAAATCAACAGGAAGATGACCCCAATGTGTGCGAATTGGAAAGCCCATGGAGTTAAAAAAATGTTCACAATCTTTATTTCACAAGATGGAACTGCATTTTAAGTTGCTTTCTTACATTAAAAAACAGGTGGCTTGCTTGGTATGAGTGACTTAAAACCAACAGCCACTTTTGGATTCTACCCTTTTGTGTTTTGCAGCACATTTTTTTTCCACTTTACAAAAAAAAACCCCACCCCTTATCCTTCTCAGCAAGTTCAGAAGCTGGCAGAAATTTCATATCAATAGTTATTCTCAGACTGTTAAGGCAGGCAGCTAAGATTTTAAGAATAGGATAATTTACACACCAACCTCCACATGCTAGTACACTCAAAATGTAATATTTAAAAAAAAAAAAAAAGAGAGCTCAACATAAGAATTATTGGGGAAAAGTTATGAAATGTTTACTTACACAATCTCATCACAGTGACCAGAAACAGGGCACCAAATCAAGATTGTGCATTTTCATTTCAATGTTTCCTAACCTCTGAGAACCTGACTTTGCACCAAGAAAATAAAAACTCATTATGTGGTATCATGCTAATACAAATACGAGTCACCAGGCAAGCTGCGAGCTGGCAAGCCATACCGCTGCAATTTGAGCTAATGGAACACCACCCAACAGCAGTACTGGGCTGCCATACTCTGGGTGGATTAGAAGCACCAAAAACAGCGAAATGCTTTGATAGTTGGCTTATAAATTTGATGCAGTGGAGAAACATCATGACTCTGAACCCTGAGATTCTACACTGGGCTCTGGATGGGGTTGTGGGACTGAGATGCAAGCCCTTCTGCCCTCTTCTCTCCAATTTATCACATTCCTTGTGTTATCCAGTCTGAAATCCCCAGTCTGATCATGCCTGGCTTAGTTTACCTTCATCAAACTTCCAGAAATTTCAATACAGCTACAGAACTGTACAGCCTCCTCCAAAAAGAACAAACCAAGTACACATGGAAAGCTTCAGTCCAAACCAAGTAACTTGGCAACGTTAAAATTAATAGAAGTGGGGTCCTGAAAATGGGAAGTGCCAGGCTACCTTGAAGGTTACAGGCAGGGCTGGGAGCACTTTGCAATCTTTTGGATTATTCCTTCTATTACCTGAGAGAGGTAGAAATATAAGTAAAAAGTGACCAGTTCTCTGCTTTTGAGTAACTTTCCTCTCTTTTCTTGTATCTAATCAACTTATTTGGACTCACTTATTATTACTTACTTTTCCAAAACATCTCTCTTGGTTCTAAAGACCCCCCAATATTTTCAGCTTATTTATGAGTTTCCATAAATCAAACTATCTATTTCTGAATGCTTGTATTTTTCTTCAAGAAAGGGTGCCAAGAAATGACACAATATTGGAAGGATGAATCATATATCTATAGGGGGATGTATGTTCCATATTTCTAATAACATTTAACATTGTTTATCTTTGGATCATCACAGGCAAGAATCTTCACAAAGCTGGCTGTAACATTCATATTAGCATCGTGAACATTTACAATTAATTGCAAACCCAACAGCATGTATGGCAAATCCATACTGTTCAATTCTTTTGCATACTAGAATCTAATGATCTGTTGCACTAAAAGATCTCACATAACTTTTCCTAAAAGAAAGCAAAACGCTTTGTGAATTTTGTTAGGGGAGGAAAGCATTGCCTTTAAAGAAATAGAAGTCTAAGTCCCTTAAGCAGGCAGGAACATTCATTTCCGTAACACAGTCAAACCCAGTTTGATGTACTGCATTACAATGCACGCGCTGTATCACTAAAGTTTTGAAAAAAAACTTTTTTTTTTTTTTAAAGAAGAGAGATAAAGGAAAGGGGCTGGAGTAGTACTATCATCTTATGACTTCCCATTAGCATTTACGAACATTTACTAATATTAAAGAACCTCCAAAATGAATGTTTAAAAATCTGCATCCTAGATGCAGTAAGAGTGAGTCATTTCCCATTTGACAAATAAAAGATAGATGCATGAAGTCATGGCATTTTCTCTTATTTATACAGCAGCTGCTGTTCTTCCAACATACAGGTTGCTGGCACTAAGAAGAGAAGCTGGAATAGATTGCCTTTGGGAAATAAATTTTATGAAATTTGTATGTAAGATTTCAGATCATTGTTATTAATCTTAAATTTACAAATATCCTCAGAGATAAATGTATTTACTTTTGGAAAAAAGAAAACCCAGCTTACTCTCGTATTCATTTAGAAAATACATGGCTATGTCTGCAAGAAGAAGAAGATTTAAGTACTTAATTCAAGAACTATTAGATTTCTTTCTTCAGGTGATTTTATTGATCAAACCACTAGTGTGCGCTGTGGTATAAGAAATGTTAGCTACTCATACAGACCCCAAACTTAATTTACAACAACAAAAAAAAAAAAAAAAAAAGGAAAAAAAACATTAAAACCTTAAGTGTGATTAAAAACAGTATCAGCTTTTTAATTAGTTTTTCTAGTATTCTTATTAGCTAATTTTAGTAATAACTATAGAGTCTCATCTACATCTAAAGTCATAATGTTAATATTTACACCAGCCAAAACTAAAATAAAATCATGCCTGAAATGTAACAACCATAATCTGAAGTGAAACCTTTTTACGATACTCTAACTCTCTTACTGGAAATATTTTATAAAACAGGCTTTAGAGCACAGCTTCTTAAAGTATAAAGGGATTCCATTTGCCCAAAATCACCAATAATGAGTTTTTAAAATGACTAACTACTTATTTATGTGATTAAGGTGTCACTATCATAGTGCAATGTTGAAAGGAAAGTAATTTCATTTCAATGACTGTTTGTGCTGATAAATGAAATAAACTTCTACAGCTGTATTCTTTGTCATACTTTCAATTTTCCCTGGGACTTGCAAACATTCTGCAGTTACATCAGTTTAAATTGTTTATTGATTCCAATAGATTGTATAAACACTTTGGAAATATAGCTCAGTGACCTAGAAAAAGCCAGATCAATCAGAGAACTTCTCAAGATTAATTTCAAAGATGTTGTGTCGAGTACATTCAAGGAAACAGAACCATTTTCCCTTGTAATGTGAGTAAAGGCATTTATTTTCTTTTATGAGATAAGGATTTTTTTTTTTCAGGTCATAGAGACAACATCTACCTTGATGAAAAAAAGAAGCAGCCTAAAGATTGTGCTAAAGATTAAAGTTATTTTAATGTATAATTTTATCCATTAGGATGAAATACTCCATTAGAAATACAAACAGGATACATCCACCCATGTACTCTAGTCAAACAGCAGCTTGCGCACTTGAGAGCTGTAATAACTAGGAATTTTCAAATGTCAGACAATCCAATCATCCACTTGCATATAGCAAAAATGTTAATATCACATTTAAGCAGGAGATACTAATACATTTCATATGAGTAGAATTAATGCAAAAGCCTACTGCAGAATATTTGCAATGCCTATCGTGACCCCTTCCCCCACCATCACATCTCCTAGCCTTGTGAACAACTCGGTGCATGTGGCCTCCATGAAGAATTCATCAGCTTCAAAGACACAGACTTCATGCTGAGGAAAACCACATACAAGGTCAAACTATCAGAGGACAGAAATCAATGAAGTACTGTAGTACCAGATTCACAATTGGAGAGAACGCTACTGTAATTGGGGAGATGAGGGAGAAAGAACTCTTAAAGCCAAGTATAACCTGAAAAACCACAATCTGCAAGAACTTACACATTCAACAACAGAGATTCTCAAAAAAACCCCAAATATATTTAATTCTGAAATAGAAACAAACCTCACAGATTTTATATCCAAGCAGGCATTTATGCAGCATTCACAGTAAGTGGGGAAGTTGCTTTATTCTCATTTAAGAGGACATGAAGTGGCAATTCAGTACAATGAACTTGGTTCTCAGTATATACTGGTTTGTATGGAGGCACAATAGAAAGGCTGGGCTACGCTTAAAGGGTTTTACTGGTCTACTTAGTGAAGGACACAATTTTGATTTGCTTTTTCTTAAAGTGACTGATGGCTATGAACCTTAGTGTAGATGCAGCTATACCAGTGCAAAAGTGTTTTAGAGACTGTATTGGTACATACCAGGTCCTGAATTGTAATGAAAATATATCAAAATACAAATACTGTACCAATGCAAGGATTTTAAGTGGAGGGAGTATGCTGCTTTCACAATGCCGGGATGCTACTATGAAGCAGAAACAATTACACACAGACAAGGCCTTAAACAAAAGCACAGAAGCCTATATATTTGGAAGCAGCAGCTGACAGCTTAGGTGTGTACCCACTTGCTCTCCCTCTTCAGTAAGAAATTTTTAAAAAGTAAAAATTTCTCATCCTTTCTAAATAGTTTCTCTTACTTTCAAAAGCCCTGTTTACAGTTAGGCCTTGAAGCACTAGAGATACATTCAGTGCTGAGTTTTTAAATTAGTAAATGCTTTCTTTTCCCTCCTAAGCTTCATATCTAGTCCTTAAAACTGGGGCAAGATACATCATGCTCATGTAAAAAGTGAATCCCAAGTGGCAGACAGCTTCTGAGATTTCAAGGAAGGCCCAGTACTCTAGGTGAGCAGTGGACCCAAAAAGGTTCAAGTCATTCTGGTACTAAATCATTAGCATGTCATAAATGGGCTACCCTTCCTTATCCTCTTTGGAAGCTTTTCCACTACCTTCTGTCGTCTCTGAATTTATTCATTTATACACAAACCAGCTTTGACAGCAATCAATTTCAAATTTACCTACTGCTGCAGCAAAATCAACCAATGAACATGACAAATAGTTCAGAAGGTGGTCAAAAATATGAAACAAGGCTTAGGTACTACTCAGTTTTGCAGAATATAGAATCGTTTAGGTTGGAAAAGACCTTTAAGATCATCCAGTCCAAATAGTATCAAATAACTGATTTTCAAATATTGATTTCCAGAGGTTAATTTAAAAAATGGAAAACAACAAAACTTCCCCAAGAGGTGAGACTGATAAACGCAAAAGATTCAAGAAAAACCTTACTACCAAACTACATTCCAAAAAATCAGAAATAATGACTTTTAAATAGCTAGAAATACACAGGAAACCTAGTTGCAGCCTCTTCCTAGAGCAAGCTTTTTTTCTAAAAAGTCTGCTAAATTTTTCAGTGTTCCACTTTCTACTACAAAGTTCTCAGAATTTAAACACACTATCACAGAAGTAAACCCTGTCTTAGGATGCATGCCACTCTCGAAAATATTAGGTGAACTACCTGTGGTCTGGATTCTGCTATGCAACAAAACTAGTACCCCAGATCCTGGGGTGACATTTCAAGATCACTGAAGCCAAAGCTTCTGATAACTGGAATTTTCAAGGGCTTCACGTAGGATCTAGTCTTTCATTTGTATCTAACTATTAGTATCTATCATTATATCTATAATTTGTAATAGCTAACTTCATGCTGGTATTTCCCTAGTACTTGAAAAAAGATAACATAAAAAAGTGGTGGTAAAACAGTAGAGGAATATTACAGAAGGGCATCTGATCCATACAGTTAACCTCTGTCTTACTTCAAACAGAACTTAGATTTTTGTTAAATTTTATAGTAGGTAAGAACACATATTAGCAGTATAACCAGGAGAACATAAAAAAAGACATTGAGCTGGACTTCACTCTGGAAATTATTATTCTTCAGATCAATGATAAAAAAACAAAAGCAAAAGCCTGCCACGTCCAGAGTAGGAAAAAGAATCCTTTGATCCCAAATGCATGGGAAGTAGCTTTGCCTCTCAACATAAAAGAAATGGTCAAATACTCCCATGATTGCTGCGGTCTCTTGAGAAAAGAATTTCTCTTGTGCCAGCAGATAGCTCATTCAGAGGACTTCTGTCATTACCTTACAGAATCCACCTCACCTCTTCTTTACAAAAGGTGCTTTGCTGGAGGCTTCAGTGCTGCAAGGCAGGCTTACCTTGTAATTCCCAAGAAAAACACCATCTTCTAGGAGTAGTGAGGATGTACATGCACTATGAAAGCAAGGACTGGACTTGAATTTTGCTTTCCTGCTGCAGCATTGAGAGAATATAGTGCTAATGCTCTTCCACAAAGCATACAGGATACTTATCCATGCACAAAAGGATACTTATCTATGCACAACCAACCAGTCTGTGGGGGCAAGTCAACTGCATTGACTGAAGCTGGCCACACATCATGGGCAGGAACTGAAGAGTGTGCATGTACCATTGCTCTGCACAGGAGCTAGAATCAAAATGAGAAGTAGAGTTGTACAGCCACATTACTCTGCTTAGTGTCAGTTTGCAACACTAGGAAATGCTTGCCTTAGGTGACCTAAATAATGAAAAATGTAAAAATAAGGTATGAAAAATAAATATTCAAAACTTTGCTGACTTGTTCAGCAGTAAGTCTATTTACAGTTCTGCTTCTGGCTCAAACCCAGTGGAAAAGGGGAGAGGATTGATTTGTGGTCTCTCTAGCAGGCTCACAGAAAGGGACTGGAAACGGCTAGAAAAAGGGCTCAGAGGCCCTTATGCAAGACCCAATTTCTGCATCACTGAAAAGTATTACAGTGGCTTAACAACTATTCAGCAGTGCTCTGGGAAGTACTCCCAAGAAGGCAGACATTCCCTTCAAGCTACTTTTTTTCTTTAAAAAAAAAAAAGGGGGAGGGAAAAAAGAGAACTAAAGGTTGAGGAGGGGAGTCAAGTTTCATATTGACTGTGTGTTGACTAGCATTAAAAAAAAAAATAGCCTGGATATGCTAAGCTCTTTGTCTTTGTAATTCAGAATAAAATTGAGGAAATAAACACCAAATACTGTGAGATAAGACTCTGTATTCCTACAAATACACTAACACTGGTATACTCTCAGTAGTACTGATTTTCTCTATGATCTGAACATCAGCATTTGCATGCATTTCCAAACACTGACCTCTGATCCATGTTTGTCACTCCAACTATAGCTCTCAGTATACAGTCAGCTAAAGCCATTGTTATCTCAGCAGCATGAAAGAGATCAAATTTTTTAGACTATGCCCTTTACCTTCTCATTTTGAATTTTTTCTGATGACAAAAGTAAATGCTTACATCTTTCACATAAACAGATGTTACATCTCTAAAGAGCTGAGAACATTTTTTCTAATAAGAAAACACCCCATAATTTCACAAGATCACAAATCTCTTCCGGAAAGGGGCTCATAATGAGAAAAGGCAAGAATATTCAGATAATTTCAAGATTAAATGGCAGATGACTACATTTCTATGCATGTAACAGCAGCTCACAACATACAAGACTTTCCTGTTATCAATATAAGGGACCCTGTCAGCTTTAAATATAATCCATTTTAAAATTTACCCCCCCAAAGGAGTCCAGTTGAAAAAAGAAGGATAAAAAAGTCACCATTACAGTATCTCTTCCCCAGACATGGGTAACTAATGCACAAACAATGTCAGGAGAGAGTGGAGAGGTAGACAATATGACAAAGAAACCTCCTCCAAACCCTAGATACATCCTAATCTCTGTGTAACAGTTCTCAAGAACTACTATTACACAGAACAACAAACAAGCAAGTTTTCAAGCAGAGGAAGATGTTAAAACACCAACTTGATCTTTATAAGTATTAAAAATTCGATCCCTGCCTGCCATCTGTCATTTTTCTTTTTAAAGAAAAAACTGGGACAATTTTTCTATTTTGAAAAAAGCATTAGGCTGTGTGTAGGCTATAAATGCACCCTGCGAGCATTGACTAACTGAGGTACCCAATGATAACAAGGATGAAACAGCGTAGAACAAGTGTGAACCAGCCACCAAAGTACATCTCCAAGTAGGGCCTCAGTAAACCCTTCAGCATTTAGGACAGGACATCAGCTTGATCCTCAGCTTATCCTAATTATTTTATATATTTGCTTATTCAGGCCCAGCTTTGTGCATAGTTTTTCTGCTCCCAGAAAGCCATCTAGTAACTTACTAAACTGAATGTACAGTAGAAGCACTGTGCACCAAATACACGTTCTATTCAGCAGGGTGTAGGAAATATTCTCCTTGAAGGACTGGAGGACTTAAGCGTGAAGAAATCTGTTGCTTTTTAACATTTCTTCCATCCCACCCTCATGACACTGAAGCTGTGAGGCTTGCCCAAAATATTAACCCAGGGACTGAAATCCACTGATACTAGAAACTGGCTGTACCCCAACCCCATTGGGGTCAGTGGACACTACTAAGAAAACTAATTTAAATATAGCAATTAATATACACACAGTTGCTGCAGAGGCCCACACTTCAACTCAAAACAACATCTTAGGACGTCAATAAAGCAGAAAGATTGAAAAATAATACACTGACTAGACTAAAGCTAGCCCAAGCATGTTACGCACACTAGTCACACATCTGACTACAGAATAGCCACAAGTATGTGCTTACGAACACTAGGCTGAACAACAGTCAGAAGGAAAAAAGGTTTCCAAGTACCTCCTGTAAAGCCTACTTGACATGTATCTATATTTACATTCCTGAGATTCGCATCGCCTCTGAAACAGTGATTATTTGCTTATTTAAGTATTCTCTGGTTTAGACAGACATTGGCAGCCTGAAATCTGGGGCTTCATTGTTTCAGAGAGGTTAGCAACAGAGGTGTCAAAGACCCTTTTCATTGACATACTATTAGGATTGTATTCACTAAGCAGAGAGGTGATGGCAAACACAGCACGTGAGGAAAAGTCAAACAACAACATAGTTGTTGGGGAAAGATTTTTCAGTCCCTTCAGCCTGCACACCTCCAAACATGCAAACTATAGTCATGCAAGTACTATTATCATCTGCTTATGTTAATCAATTCCAGAATTTCACAAACAAAACCAAGTCACTACCTTTCCCTTAGAGAAGATCGATTTAGCACAGAACTTAGAGAATGCTTCTGAAATGCTGGAGGTGCTGAATGCTTTAAAGAACCAGAACCGGTATAGGACTCCCTGTTGGGTGGATCTGAGATTACATCCTCATGGCAAACATCAGAACTGTCAAAGTCTTTTCCATGAGTAGATTTTGCCTGTTAAAAAAACAAAACAAAACAACACCACCTTGATAAAAATATTATGAATATCAAGATGTACAGTTTTCATGTTTTTAATTTTCAGACCAAAAAGTTAAATGTTGCATATACATGCAGGAATATCTGCCTGATGGGGAAAGGACAAGGATCCTCATTTCATAGAAAGAGCCCTGGTTTAAATTAAATCAACAAGTGTCAGAGAACTCTGTTGGAATATAACATACTATCTTATGTCAAAGTCTAGTGTAACACGCCTTTTATCACCTTTTCTGACTGCACAACTTTAAGGCTTACCCCTCTCAGGAATCTCACAGATTCAGAATGACAAGAGAGTCTGAGAGTCTAAACAAGACAAACCGCAGACCTCTCTTCAGTGTGGGAACCCTTGTTCTTAGACTTTTTTTTCCTCATTATTTGCTGTTCCTCAAGTGAAAACTCAGGCCCATCTACTCATCTTCTACTCACTCTTCAGTATACTAGTTACTCCTTTTCATAGTTCCTCTTAACCTGAAACACAACCACTAAAATGCCTCCATGAGTTACCCCGTTTTACCTGGAATGGGGACTTTTACAGGAGCTGTTTCCCAAAGCTGGGGAAAAAACCAAAAACCGCAACAAAACCACACCACCAATAATAAGGTTATTCATTAACTCTTTTCAGGATGCAGGGTTTTTTTTCCTCAGCTTTGGGAAACAGCTCCTCTTAAACAATGCTGTATTATATTTCTGGCAAAAAAAAGACATGTTCTCTTCAGCCCTGATTTTGTGAGAATCACAAGTGATTAGAAGCATCAAGAACTGCTCCTAAAATCTGCTTTCCCATTCGGGGACAGAGGGATGGGGGAGACAACACAATCTTAAAATAGCCATCATTAAAAAAAAAAACAAACAACCACAAAACTCAAAAACTTATTTGGCATATTTAGTAGAAATTCTCTACTTTCTTTACAGTTTCTCATTTACAGCCATGGAACAATCTAGAAGTGGCACAATATATTAGACTCACATGGTACACAAAACAGCAATCCTTGGTAATAAAAGTTTAAAATCTGACAAAAGTGCGCTTAACATGTATCAAGGTTTATCCTTTTAATTCCCTTTCTTTCCTCTTTCCTGTTGTCGTTTTCTCAGCCATTAGGAAATCGAAGGAGGCATACGTAATTAAATGCTTAAATCCACAATTTCTGCAGTACTTCAGGAACACAGGCAAAAAAAAAACTAAATGAGGATAGAAAGAATAAACAACACCAAAAAACAAAGGAACCCTAACATTAATCTTCAGATCCATTTAATACAGAAAGCAGCTCAAATCTGCAAAAGTGAGGACATGAAATAACACAACAGTGGCTTGCCAGTTGTACCAGTGCTATCTTTGCATACAATTCCAGAATGAAGTGTGCTCTCAGAATGACCAGGAAGGCAAATGCAAACTGCCTTTAAAGGCTCTTCTATCTACAGCCTTGTCACAAGCCTTAATGCCAAGGAGAAGCAAGTTCTGTACCTACAGGCATGAATATCTTATAGAGTGTTAAGTTTCACATTTCTGTTTGTATATAATCGGTCAGCAGACCTAAACCGGGTTAGATAAGATTTAAAATGTCCCTTTTCTTGCTTTTTATACTATAGTAGATAAAGTTTCAAAAATACCTACACAGGACAATCCTCCTCACTCAGAGCTTCCCAAAAAACAATTTGTAAACAATAGCACTTCAAAGTACTCACTTTGGCTTTCTTGGGTCTGTAGCTGCCAAGAAGAGAAGGATCTGGAGAAAGACAAAAGGTGCATCCCAGAAGAAATTCAAAAGAAAATCTGAATGTCCTATATTTTATGAAATCTTTTACAAAATAGCTTACGTCTCCTCCCAAACAGTACTAAAGTGATTTATTATTATACATTGTGAAATTCTAAACAGTCTCCTCAGAATATTCCAGGAAATCACTTTCTTTAGCTGAAAACAATGACTTCACATTTAATGGAACACAATGTTTATAATAATGAATAAGTGTAAGCACCTAAGACAGAAGTGGCACATTTTGTTAAGCTATTAATTGCCTAAATCAATATAAAAATCAAGCTCTACCATTCCCAAAAATTCTCACATACATTAAACTACCTCACTAATCTCTTCTGAACAAGCTTCCCAATGACCACCTCTCTCTCCTTCTAGCATGTCTTCATTCCTTCCCTTACCACTGACCCACAAGCATGAGTACAAAGCCCATGGAAACACAGGCAGGGAAACTATTAGGTCCAGTCCATACCAGCTTAGGATGTTTCACCAATGTCAATACACACCTCACCCCTGAGGGACTGACATTGAGTTATGTCTGGCTTCTTGATCGGTTTTATCAGTCTGTACTGAACAACCCTCATACTGTGACCCAAGCCCAGAGGTAGTTCTGTGCTCTACAGCAATGTAAAGACCCCCCTCTATTAGCTACCTGCAAAAATCGAAAAAGGACTAAACTGTACTGTCAGTATTAAGACTTCTAATCCTAGGAATTTGTTTTTTTCAGAAGTTCCAGTTAAGTCTCAAGACACAGGCAGGTGACCAGTGAATCCTCTGGATATTAATAGCGAGGTAGATTTCAGTCTCCTAACCACTGGCTAGAAACCACCAACTCATTTCGTAAGTATGCAATGGTATCAGATGATAACAGGTCTGTTACATTATCCAGCTACTACAGACTGGTAAATATGACCCCAAAGGGAATGTGAAAACTTTAAAATCCTGCACGCAGTGCTACTACAAAGAACAAACGTAAAATAATAAGTTCATAATGATTTGCTATATAACAATTTATAATTAGTGAGGAGGTGCAATAAAAATGAGGCAGAGCGCACATAACAAACAAATACTGATGAGACTCATTAAAATCCTTATATTACCAGACACATGCAATGAAATCAAGTTTTAGGGTACTTCCTTAAATTTCTGGTCCCACACCTTTTATTAAACCCTTACTTACTGAGACCAATGAATGCCAAAGGACATTCAAGCACATCCTGGATGCTTATTAACAATGGTAAGTCACTGATCCACTACTCACAAACACTGCCGAAATAAACATTATTAATTTTTGAAGAAACAGAGCCCTTGAACTTCAAAATGAACAATACTCCAAGCCTGACCAACATACCCACAGACTGTGGTGCAGATTTGCTCCACCATCCAACTCATCAAAACAAGTGGAGTGAAAACAGAGCACTCGCCTGGGCTTTTGTATTTTCTACTCCTACTTTCACATCATGTAGAACTATGTTCCAAGTTTCATGAGGTAAAGAATATTCAAAACCACTTTTTAGCTTATTCAGTATTCTTCCTATTCGTAGGAAGAAAGAACAGCTTTTTCTCCATTACAGACTGACTTTTTTTTAATAAATAAAAAAACCAAAACAAACCCCCCAAACAACGTAACCTCACTAAACTACTGCAGAAAACAAAAGCATTTATGAGATATATAGTAGAAAATACTGACCATGGTCTACCTTGGTCCAGGCTTCCACTGTACTATCTTGTGTGGGACACCAGGTATGAAGTTTAATATCAGGACTTGGTTGTTCAACCTGAAGCAAAAATACCGTTAAAATGCTCGGTATCAGATGTATCAATTTCTTTTTTTTTCTGTTTTCATTCATAAGATCACACCTAGTCTGTTCTGAAATATTTTATTCTTATTTAAATACTATTTACAACTATTTTCACAACACTTTGCTCGTATTATGGATATTATTAGCATTACTGTGCATAAACAAAAACAGTACTAGAGAGGTCGACAAAACCTGAATATCATATTGTTCAAAGAAAAAAAATGCAGATAGTCTGTCCTTCACCTATAATGTCTGCAGTCTTTTTAAACAATTCTTGGTATCTCATATTTATTCAAATCAGTTCAGCTATCACCAAGAGAGATCTGAATCTTTTCCTAACTGAAAAAGTTACATTTAACATAATCTAATTTTAAACTTCATGTAACACAAAATCTCCAGGCCAAGAGAGTCCTCAGCAATAAAGATGTCCTAAAAGGAGCAATCTAGAAAGGCCAGGACAGTCAGGATATGGTACATTAAGAGACAAGCTTTTTCCTTTTTTGTACAAACATAACCAAGCAATCAAAATCAATAATCAGTGTTTAAAGATGCTATAATTAAACTGATAACCTCACCTATAGATCAAAAAACAGAAGAACTGATTAAAAGGAGTTAAAAGAAAAATTTCTGGGAGAGAGATAAACAGTAGGTTGATGAATAATTAATGGCTTATTAAGGCTAATCTAAATTTCTAAAAGGTACCTATACGTAGAATAAAACTTGGAAAAGAATTCTAAAATTTGACAAGATATTATCAATTCATTTGTACATAAACTAGAAAAAAATTAAGTGAGAAGCAAACTAATTAAACACTAAATTATCTCAATGGCTCTGACACGTGTCCAGAATTGTAGCCAAATCATAATGTCATAGCACAGAATCAGAACAACCCCATCTCTGCCCCTACACATTCAAAATGGTATTCTAAAAATAAAGGATTGTTGCAATTACAAGAAAAATAAATGGGGGAAAAAAGAGAGTGTGATTCTCCAAGAGGCTAGGAAATCTGTCCCTTTCATAGTAAAGCACTTAAACACAGTTTCTTTAAATAAGTACCTAATTTCAGAACAATTTTTCATGTACGGTTAGCAAAAAGTCCTTATGCGGATGCTAACATCAGGTTGGTTATGAACTCTAAGTCAAAGTGTTAAAGATGTAGCTCTGAGCAAAGGAAGTGTTTCAATGATCATAGGATGCCAACATAAAAAAAGTTGAAAGAGAGGAAGTGTAAGTGTTCATAATATGACTAGACACTCTTT